GAGGCTGCTGAACCATGTTTTTAAGGGGTTGGGGCCCGGGGCTGTATAGTCGTCGGATGCAGTTTCTCCTGTAGCTTTTAAAGCCGGGCTGAAGTACACTTGCTTCCACGTCTAAAGACGTTGCCTCCCTTCTTCACCTGCCTGGACAGACAAATAATTTACATTACGTAATCACGCGCATCCAGATGGAATGATGTCGTTTCGTAGAAGTTGTCATTAACATCATTGATATCACAGTGGATGCAAACATTGGATTCTCGGCTGTTGGCAGTTGACAGGTTCACTTATAAGTCAGGCACAAGTTCCCTGGCGGTAGAGGCGAGCCCGCCGCTGTGGCGCCCTTCAAGGATTTCGTGGTTGATGCTAGACTGAACCTCATGAAGCATTGGAGCCGGTGTGACCGGAGTATGGAGACCTGGATGATCAAAACCAGCAGGGCTTCGCACGCAGGCTGGTGATGCCTATTTATGTTTAGCAGGGCTTGCAACGCGCAATTGTGCAAGCATGCTCGCGGCAGTACAGATGGACGTTGCCCGCGAGCGCGTTCCATAGATTCCTGAGGTCCGGCCCAACCATGTTCATCACTTCGGTGTAACTGCATGAATCGAGCGTCATCTAGTGACATTCTTCCCTGGACGAATATAAACCTCCGTACACCCTGTTTCATCTGTCATTCATCACTTTATCCCTCAGTGGCAAAGCAACTGTCTTCTCAGAATTAGTGGCATGGCAAGTATCCCTTATCATCGATGACTACCGTTTGTCTTCCCTTATTCTCCATCCATGGTTAATACCTCAGTCCTCACCATTACAGTATCACCTACATCAGCATCATCAGCAGCACCAACATCATCATCACCAACATCATCACCAGCATCATCTTTGCAGTTGTCCCCCAATCGCCGCCAACTGCATCATCATCCTGATCCGCCTCGCCAACTGCATCACCACCAGCCATATCTATCAACATCTCTGACCATGGTCCGTAGTAGCACCGTTTGCTTTGTTTGCTTCAAGCGCATCGTCTTCTGCAATATGCACCTTCATGCCCCTTCCTCCTCCTCTCCGGCCTCCCCTCCTTGCCCCCACATCCCCACCACCACCATCACCAATTGCATTACTGCCGGTTTCCTTCATGTATCATGTTCCGGATACTGCGTGGCTGTTGTTGTGAATGTCATCTTCCACCAGCCATCAATCACTCTTGCTCCACGACTTCGAATGCCGTGATACGGCGATGTTGTTCGCCATGAACATTCCGCGCAGCAATTGTGCTCCTGGTCATGTGTTGGGGCACCACATGCATGCTCTCAGATGAATGTGGCAGACCGAAATATTATGAGCGCGGGTGGGCCGAACCGAAGACTGAAAGCTGTAGTACGGAAAGTCATGTTTAGTATTTTAGTTGATTAGGAATTTCACTGTTAGGTACACTCTGGGCGCAAGTTCAATTCAAAATCGATGCTGCTTGCCACTCCCTGCCCGAATTGCAAGGGCCAGCGTATACTTGTTGAGGAACTTCAGTTGCCAGCTGGCAGTTGCAATACCTACGTGGAGGCGCTTAGACTGAGATCTGCACATTCCTCGAAATTCCACTAGCCCCAAGATTGGGGTGATATTGGGGTTATATAAGGATAATGGAAAAGAAAATGGATACTACTATAATATTAGGGTATATATTGGGGTTATACTGGGATAATTGATAATAAAATGGAATCTATATATTTGTTCAGCTGTACTGATCCAACCCTTCTGACTCGCAAAGGTGAGGCTCTTGGACAAAACACTTACCCCCAGACTGGCATGTCCACAGGTCAGGAATAGCTGAGGAGTGTAAAGCTTAAGCCAGATCGTCTTGACTTGGGGCTACACCTAGGGCATGCTGCCAGGCTGCAATCCTGCCTGCGTACACAGGCTTGCGCCTTCAGGATCAGGCATCAACACGCAGGAAAGCTAGGTTGATGCTTCGTCAACTGGACTTTTGTCTGTGATGCCATCGCGCAGTGTACCGGATCAAGCTGCAGACCTTGCCGTACACTCAGCCGGCGCCATGGTGGTTCTGATGGCTGCTAAACTCTTCTGCCAGAACAAGGAAAACTGTGGGGCCAAGCCACTGAACTTCAGTGACGCAGGCCTCAGGGACCATATGCTCCTGGTGGGATTAGTCAGTGCCCAGACTACCTCTGGGCTCATACAAAAAGGGCTAGGTCACATTCGTACCCACAGCCCATTCCGCAAGTTGATAACTCTACACTTGTCAGCAGAACCCTAAACCCTAAACCCTAGACCCTAGACCCTAAACCCTAAACCCTAAACCCAAGCCCTAGAGCGCAATAGTCCTGTTGCAACGACTAGGACGCCACTCCCCTGTGTTCCGGAAAGGGCCCTTCACCAAGAACGTGGGCATGCTGGCCTTCTATTTTCCTGGGCACAACTCACCCGCCGACGACTTGTGCAACGTGCCTTGGCTGTTACTGAGAACCCTCAAGCTCAATCCCCACATTGTGTGGAGACAACTGCGCCACCTCTGATCAGTGGGAGCCTGTCTACAACATTGCTTTATGTGAGCTACAGTTTAAACTCCTGGTATCCCCCTTTAAAACCCTATAATAATAATCCCCTATATGACCCCCTTTAAGGAGTTTGAATTATAGCTCATGTGCGCAACTAAAACTCATCCCAAGAGACCCTGCTGAAGCAGGCTGGCTTCCTGGGAAACTTCTGGCAGCGTGAGTCACTGCCAGCACCCCAGCCATACAAGCAGCATCAGAAGGTGGCCAGACCCTGGTCTTAATCGCTCTCAGTAGGGAGTAAGGGAATAGAGTATGTAGGGATTACATTGGGATTATATTCCCTTCTTCCCTACGAAGAACCAGTCAGGCTTCTGGTCAATGATAACTTGCCCATGATTGATGTTGCCAGGTCTGTGGAAGTCCACGGAGAAGCTGATGGTGTACAGTCCGTGCAGCGGTTCAGTAATGCCGAAGCAGCCTTTCAGGCTTTGACACTTTGCATATATTGGAGACCTTTGGGAAGTGGCCTTGCATAATATCTTGAGCCAGGTAGGATTCAACGTTTTGGGCGCATGTTGCGCATGCCGTCCACAGCCAAGGAAGTTCTGGAGCAGGAAGCATGACTTCGAGCACCTCAGCGGCGAGGAGGCCTTCCGCCTAAAGCGCAAGCTCCACGGTGGCAACCAGCTTTGGAAGTTTGCAGATGCATTGAAGAGCAGGTTTATTCATGTCTAGCTACAAATTGAGAGTGCTGGTGCTAATACCTAGATGTTCCGGGAGCTGTGAGTTGTGAGGGCGCTCGAGAGTGTCCCCCCGTATTGTGCTTTACGGCAGTTCTCCTCTCACAGAGGCTCAAAGGACTTCACCCATGCAGGCCACGGCAGCAGCTCGCGGCATTTTTGCAAACTCCTTGTACAGGATAGCACACGACCTCGCAAGAGGCCACAAGCATTTGCAGTCATGATGGAAACTCAGAAACTATGTAGGTACCACTTGTACGAGTCAAACGTAAAAAATGCTGGACTAGTTGGCCAATCCAGTCCCTCCCTGGGGGTATGCTTGCTGCGCTTTGCTCTTGCAAGGTAATTGGGCTGCCATGCGACACGTACTGAAGGCCATGCAGTTGCCATGCAGCACTTGGGGGGTTTGCATTCCAGATGGCAGGAAACTCCATCTTTGATTGTGAAGCCCTGCTTTCTTCGAGATGGTTCCGCCACACAATGCCTGCAGGGCAAATTCTTGGATGACAAGCTCAGAGAAGATTTGATGACAACTGCGAATATATTCTTGCTGGAGCACAATCCAGTTGAAGGACGTCCAAGCCTCAGCTCTCCGCATTGAATGCATCAGCATGCTCAAGCATGCGAGCTGATGCCTCCATGCTCTTTTTATCAGGTGACTGCATCTGGTCCGACAACCATGATGGAACTGGCAAGAACTGGCTCGGCTTGCAGCTGATGTTGCTTCGCGACGAGCTCCGCTGTGACTCCAGATGGACCACATGGTTGGAGAAGCTGGGTTGCAGGCATGCATTAGTCTTGCAGAGCTGTGCAAGATCAATGTCCAAACCTCTCTCCACGCCAACGACTTCATTTGCATCTGAGGCAGCAGGTGGACCTGAGCACAGGTGAGATTCTAAGTGGAAGCAAGTGGCCAGACCTTGTGCAGCAAGCATCTACGGCAGTTCGAAAGTGCTTCGAAGGCGGTCACACACAGGAGTGGAGGCGAACAGACCCTGATGAGCAGCAGCAGCAGCAGCAGAAGCAGCCGCAGTGGCCTGCAGAGAAAAGAGACACATTCAGCCACCAACCCACAGATGAACCGATTCCCACCTTGGAGGATGCTGATAAAGGCCGCAGCCTTGTGCCGCCTCACTCAAGTGACGGGACCATGGAAGGACCGGTTTCCCCGGAGTCAGGATTGTCAAGTCCGCCGCAAGTGCTACCAGCAAAGGACGCGCTGCCAGTCAGGCTTGTGCGGAGACTACGCTGCCTTTCTTCGGACTATAGACTTGTCCATCCTTGGAGTTCCACGCAGCAGCACACCACGTACCCAGGCTGGGCGCAGGTTCAAATACATGTATGCATCCTTTGCATCCCTTAGACAATCTTAGACAGCATGACAGCGTTCCATAGACGCCCTGCACTTCCTCCCTGTCCCTATACACACTTTACCGGCCTGGGCTCCTATGATTCCAGGGGGGCAGATCCCCGTTGAGGCCCGTGGCTGATCTGGGGGCCTCCGGTTCTAAACTTGCGTGGAGCGCCGCTCCAGGGTTGCTTTGGCATCGCTTCAGGGCAACTGCAGCTACCAGGACTTCAAGTTATGGCACGCCTTCATCTAAATCCAGAGCTTTAGGAGCCCTTGATAGTGGGGAGCGCAGCTATTCTGTCTTCGACTAAGTAGACACCTGTACGTCACTCAAATGTTCTACTTTGTGTCTAGGTGTTCGAGAATTGCCTGCAGGACTTGTGGCGCATGATCATGACGCTTCGTTCGTTGCTGGCGTGGACAAGCACGACTCCGAGGAGCACTCAGAGGTGGATTCCTCTGAGAGCTCCGACGATGACTCGGATGAGGATACTTCCTGTGGTTATCAGAGAATGAAGGTACGGAAAATAAAATGCAAACAACTATGCTTGGGGTGGGGTTTAGGGTATGAAAAAGAAAATGGAAACTACAAATTATACAATTATACGATGGTGGCGTACCTTGCGGGGGCGACTACAAGGAAAGCCCTGGCTGCGGCATTGGGTTCCCTTGCTCGAATCGACGAGCACCAGGGTGAAGGACGGGCAAGAATGGTTGCGACTTGTGACGTTAGCACTGATGCAGTTTGATGAAGCCTGGGCATGTGATGAAGAACTTGACATGAGGTTGGCTCCATTGTGGCTGAATGAAGCATTGCCTAAAGACAGCAACTGCACCAGACATAGCAAGCGGCAGCCAAGAGCTTGTGTCTTCCAAGTGCGCAAGTCATGGCTCCACTCTGCATACGACACGGCTGCTACAGGTGGGGCCGGAATGTTTTTTCCGGAGCGTTCGTTACCTGATTGTCGTGGATCAGTAAATGCACTAGTAGTTTGTTTCTGTCCGTATCTGTACTCTTGCCATCCAAGAGGCCACGCACACGTGACACACAATGATTCGATTGCGAGGGCACGTTGCATGCAGCCAGGGAACAGCATCCAGGCAGTCCGTATTGCTCAAGGACTGCAACGGGGGTTGCTTCTTGGCTTAAGGGGAGATGGATGCTGCAGCTGAGATGTTGTAGGGTGTCTGCCGTTTCAAGTGTTGCAATCAAGGTGTCAGAATGTCGAGGCTGCAAGCCAAGAAGAAGTGAGCAAGGTTAGGTCCAATCTCCCTCTGTGCCAGGCAAGCCGCTTAAGTAAACTTATGAAATACGAGTTCAAAAAATACATGTAGCAGGTGAGTCGGTGCCGGTTGAATCCGGCCGACAGGCATTTCATTAAGTTTGCTAGATTCTGCTAGATGGCAGAGCATGAAAGAAAAGTTGAAAACCTTCCATCAGCTCGGAGGACATGTCGAGACGGTGGCAGCAGCACCTTGCCTGCAGATGGGGTTCTCACAAAACAACTGCAGCGGCTCTTATCCGAGTCAAGACATCAGGGCCTTGAGCTGGTGACGCGTCTGACTATTGCCCTAGTGTCAAGACTGCAGCCAACCCCTGTCAGCGCTGAGGGATGCGAAGTCACACAACTTGTGCTGGCTCCAGATGCTACAATTTCACTGAGACAGCGAGGCCATCACGGGATGGAGGGATGTTTTGATGCTCTGGAAGTGCCTGCGCTGTCCTGCACTCTTGGGGAGTTGCCACACGTCTCTGGCAGGCCGATAGCTCCGGGCCTGTTCCAAGAAGCTTCCACCAGGCGAGGAGAAGATTCGACCTCCACCAAAACGCCTCTATCTTTCATGCGATGATTTGACTGATACATGCTTGGGTAATTTGACCTTGCCGCTTGTGCAGCAGGCCTGTGGTGCAAGCAACTCCAGATTGGTCTCAAGTGGACCCCGTTGTTCTTCCAGATGGCAAAGAGGAGGTAGTGGCCTTCTATTTTCCCGGGTATTGCGCTCCCTGTGATGTCCTCTGTGGGGCACCCTTCTTGGGCAACTTCTACGCGGACGAGCACTCAAAGGTTAAGCTGAGGCCTCGCTTTCACCTCAATGAGCACGAGTTCAAGACTGCTGAGGGGGCCTTCCAAGCCACTAAGTTTTGGGATCTGGCGCGGCTGTTTGAGCTGTCGAGTGGGCAGGAAGCTGTTAACACAGCAAGACTGCTCTCCAACAGACGACCTCCGGACTTGAGCCTTGCGGGATATCCGAGTAGGCTTGCAGCGATGGAGGCCGTCATATCTAGCAAGTTCAAAGAAGGGAGCACATTGGCTAGAAGGCTTTGCAGTACCAAAGACTGCTTTCTGCCTCTTGGCTGGTAAGGTAATGTTGATTTCTTATTTATCCTGGGTCTTTATCACCTCTGCGAATGACACGATGAAACCATGCACACAATGAGATGCTCGAGAACTGCAGCTACCCTGGCCGAGACGCATATTGGTCGGACAATGGCAATGGCAACGGCCAAAACTGGCTGGGACTGTTGCTGATGCTTCAACGCGTGAAGCTGCACCCTTGCGACAGCTGGAAAGGTTGGCTGAGGCAAAACGTTAATAGAGATTTCGAGAGTACCACTTGGACTTGCAAGCAGATGGTGCAGCGGGCGCATAAGGGAGTGATCAATGCCCTTAAGCTAAGCGGTCTGGAAGACAAGACAAGCATGGGGAGACTGCGAGATCACAGTCAGCCTCGAGCTCCTACCGAAAGAAGTCCGGAGCGAACGTCAGGTGGGGCCGAAACCGCATCATGACTCGACCCTCCTTTGCGGTTTTTCCTAGGGCGGGTCCTGCTTATTTGCTCTGCTAGCTGCCTTCTTTCCCTACAGCCATGAGTCGTGAGCTGAGAGAACGGTCAACGCGAACTGACGGTTGTAATGGTGGTGTCGTGACTTAATTTCTTAAAGTGAGTGAAATGAGTTTTCTTGTTTCATTTCAGTTCTCTCACGAATTGAATTATCACACGACAGAGACCACTGAGATCTTGAGTGGTAGAATCAACTAGAAGAAGGATAGCAAGACCATGAGATCACACTAGACGCTTGGGTTCCTCGCTCCTGTTTCTCTCTGGCTCCTTTCATTAATTCATGTGCGAACGAAAGAAGAAGAGAGCACACGAATTAAATAGAAGAGAGGAGCGAGAAAGGGAGCGCAGTGATAGAGACCACCAGCTTGCGGGTATTTCCAGAGGTTACAATCTAAGACTTAGCTCTCAACAACTTTAGCATTGCAGTATTTGCAACTCTAGGAATATATTTTCATTACTTAGTACATGTTCTTTAAGGATTTTTCCCATTAGCTAATAGGATTCTTGTAATTGCCTTTTGCACCCTCAAAAATTGGGATGGGACATTAATACCGTGGCACCTGTCGTCCCTTGCATTCACTTTCTTCACTTATAAAGTTGCTGTAGCTCCTGGAAGATTGGCAATAAAAATCTTTGGAATTATGATCTTATTATTATCTGGTTTTCCTTCCTTCATTCTCATTTCTGGACTCAACTGATGAAAGAGGAGAACTAAAACAAATGAGTGAAACAATGTAAAACAAAGCTCATAAGAAATCTGTATGCGAGAACTATTGTAAGTCCTAATAGAAAACGCAGGGCGAGTATTCATTTTATTCGCTAAGCCGAATTCATTTTCCTACGCGCCTATGATTCTATTTCGACAAGTCATTTAGTTCATTCCCTGTGGTCGTTCTTTTCACTCCCTTCTTTCACGTCTCTTTCTGTTGGGTTCCTGTCAGGAAGCAGCTTCCGTTCGTGCCGCAGTCCCTCAGCATCCTCAGGACGGATGCCTCCCGTCAGCACAACTATTCCATGAGGTGTAGATGCGTATTGCAGGCATGTTGCACTGCAGGCCCAGCGTCTTTGGAGTGTTTCACTTGAGGATGGATGGAGGCATCGAGAAGTCCAGCATGCAAGCACCGTCTGCGATGCTGCCACCCACAACACACTTTGGCCAGGCCAGGCTTCAACTGATCCACAAACCCCCAACTGAGATGGTTGAAGTCTGAGTCAGAGCATAGAGCTTGTCAAAGGTGTGCTGCTCGGTTTTGTTTTGGATGGTCTGCTGCTTTTTGCTTCTGATTGGCGTCCAGTTGCCTGGAGGGCTTTGATGGTCCACGCCCCAACACCAATTCTTGGCTGACCAAAAGAAGACCAGGATTGCAAAGGGGCCAACAAATCCTGTTCAAAAACCTGCAGCTTGAACATAAGCTTCCCAATCTGGGCAAAGCATGAGCTTGTGCACCAGGGATTTGCATGTGATTTGGATGCGCAGCGACGAAGCAGCAACGATGCCCTGATACCTTTGCCAAGTTTGTTCCTTTGATTGTAGCACTGCTTTAAACTCACAGAGTCATGACCGTGTTGCTGTACTTGCCTTGCAGATTCTTTGTGAGGCCTGATGATTAGAGCTCCCAAGCCTGTTACATCCTGCTACTGTCACTAAGAACTGTTCGCGACTTGCGAGGTTCGTCTCCGCCCTACGATCGACTCAGCTTGTACTTAGAGGCACATCTCCCGGCGGAGAAGCTGTGCAACTGCAGAATTTGTTTCTGATGGCGTCATCCGGGACTTTCAGCCAGGGTGAGGTGGTGTTGGCAGGCTATGCTCAGCAAATCCCATGTGGACAATTTTGTGTCAGCACTGCTTTGCACTTTTCTCATCTACCCTCTGATCAGCTTAGCCATCACGAAGCAAAGGTCTCCAAAACATGTCCATGTACTGCAGCATGCCACATCGGAGGGTCTGATGGTAGAGAGCTCCGTCCGCGTGTACAGATCTTTACCGGGCGCAACGTCCCCCGCTTTTGCGTGACATCGTCGTGGCTGCTTTCCATGGTGACAAAGGCGGCATGTTGGGACATGTCAGAGACGGCCCTCTGCTAGTAGGGTGGTGCAGCGTGAAGCATGGCAGTAGTATGGCAACGTACTTTGGGTCTTGGCCATGTAAAGTGCAGTGTTCTCTCCAGAGCACAGCTATGGCGCAGTTGTGGAGCACACGTTCGACTGACATCATCAACTCTGTGGCTGCCAGGACACATGGGCCATGGATGGATCGTGCATGTTTGAGTCCCAACAGCCCTTCGGAAGGGATCAGAAGCCTTCGTTGCCGGAGCCTGAAGCTTGTCACTGCCAAAGACTGGACCCAAAAGCTTGCCGAGGCTTAATTCGTTCTCACCTGGTGCAGAAGCTGTGCAACTCCTGATTTGGCTTCTGGCCGGTAATGTTCAAGTGTAAGGAGGTCATGTTAGCAGGCTTTGCTGAGCCATTCCCATGTGGACAATTTTGTGTCAGCAGTGCCCTGCGGCTTTCACATCTGCCCTCCGGAGAACAAGTCTCGTCCAAAACATGATGTCATACTGCAACAATTCGGAAGGCCTGATGTCAGAGAGCACTGTCCGCTTGTACATGCTTGTACAGTTCTTCACCTCCCGCAAGATTTCGCTCTTGTGAAATCAGCGGGGCGAACCAAGGCGTCATGACTCGGACTCGGCCTTCGGAAAGGTTGCCTGCCCACGGTTAGGTTGGGGCTTGAAATCACATCGGTCACACAAAACAGATGGTGCCCCGGCAAAACGTAAAAGACTGGTTGACCCAGCTCGGTTTTTGATTTAGCTTCCACCTGACAAAGGCTTGATTTTCTTGATCCTGTGGCTGTGGATCTTGGATGTTGTGGGTCTTCGATGACGTGGCCGTCAGATGTTTCTGTATTCAGCCTTTGCTTCAAGCGGCGTCGGGTGCCTCCCTTCACTACGCTTGAGACTCTGCTGGTGCCATGTTTTATCACTACACTACGAAAGAAGGCCTGGCCGGCAACCTGTCTCTAATTGCTAGCCTCACTGACAGATAGAAAGCCAAGGGTTCTCAAGACAGAAACGTGCAGTGTTCTTGCGGTTGACCAGTTGAGTCTCCTGCTTGTGTGTCAATTTTCTGGTGGGGTAGATGTCAATTCGCAGACTTCAAGAAACTGGGGGTGTGTACATGAACAGTGGGCTAGCAAACGAAAGATTCATTCAGACGATGGGCTGCGGCTTTCAAGGTATCCGGCGATCTGGCCAAATCAACCAGAACAGCGGTCAGTATGGATGTGGCGTCTACGTCACTGATCTGGCTTGGGGCACCGACCATAGAACGCTGGATCGCCACCTGAGAAACGGCAAGACCCAGCGGTGCATAGCACTCCGCATAGAGAGCAGCGAACTCGAGTCTTGTCGAGAACATGTGTGGGTCTACCGCGGAGCTGTAGCCTTCACTGAGAAGCAGCATCCTGCTTGCCTGATGATGTCTCTCAGAAGTGGCATCTGCTCTACGTACTCAACCCGGAGTTGTAGTGCATCCTGATTGATTGATGTTGATTGTACATGATGTCAGTGACCCAAGCGGCGTGCAATACCCAGTTTTCCTCTCGCTCGGTCTATGAATCGACCTTGCTCAGGTACCGACCTGCTCGCATGGCCTCAACCAAGCTACGCAGCAAAACTACAAGCTGGTGTTTGCGGGTGGTGGTTGGCGATCACAGCATTTGCGTGAGAAGCACAAGGGCAGCATGTATGTCCTCATGACCTCGCTTGAATTTTAAGATTTTGTGATTTTGTCTAGCCTTCCCATGCGGAAGGCTAGTTTGGAGCAAACAGCTCAGTGCCCAAAGTGGAGCACGCACTTTAACGGCATGGTTCCCATCACCAAAATGGCAAGCCGTCACTCTGCTGCGTAAAACTTGGTGAGATCTCAGCCAGATCTAGCAAGGAAGGAAAGCTGAGCCAAGTATGGAGCCAGCACATGGCAGCACCTCGAGCAGCGATGCCATGAAGACTTCATGTGGGAGCTGTTGATTGCGTCGTGCATGCCTTGTCAGCCGTTTGCATATCCACATCAGTTAAGAATAGTCTTGACGTGCGTGCCCCACGTTGGGTGGGGAGGAGCGACCTAATACTTGCTGAAAAAATTGTAGCCGAGCAACGCACGTCCATCATGGGGTACGCACGGGCAAAGCCCATACTTGGAGCAGAAAAAAACGGAAGGCCATGGGTAGGAAAGGAAAAAATTCGCGCCGGAACTGCAGGTGGCGCCTGCATGGGACGGGCCAACTGAATAGAGCAGCTGTAGCATTTTGCAGCGTTGGCTTTGCAGCCTGCACTGATTCAGTTGCAGGTGAGTGAGACGGACAGAAGAGAGTGAGGGCAGAAATCAAAACCATGGCAGGGAGACGGCCAAGCAGCCTCGAACTGCACCGGCAGGCGGACCTAATCTGTCTTTGTTAACTCATGGCATCGCAGCGCGCAGCCGTGAAGACGTGCAACATGACCTGCGCAAATAAGGTGCAAAGCCAGAGCAACGCGAGGGCAAAGCACAAACGCAGCAGAGGAAGCCCATGCATGCTTTAGAATACGTGTAGAATTAAGACAGCTTTTCAGGGTTGTTAAATGGGGGTTGATGGGATGGCGCTGCGGTAGTGACTGTAGGAGTTCAGCCCCGGTCCTGGCAATCTCTGCTGTTTTGGGTCTTGGGCCGTCGCTCATTTTGAACCAGTGTTGCGTCAAGGGCCTTCAGGGTCCAAGGTGGCATATCAACACTTTCTGGGCTCCTGCTGCCAGGTCGTCTGCACAGCCTGCAAAAGCCGAGCCCTCATTGCTCTCATGACCTGCTGTGCAGAGACCTTTGCAGTGCCTTGATTTCTGCGCTGTGCATTAACTTCTGACCTGCTGGATCCAACGTAGATTGTGGAGTGTCAATTGAAGTCCCATGCCATTCCCGCTCTGCAGTCACCAGCTGGGTCCAGTCAGAGCAGTGAAGGCTTTGAGGATATCAGCATTGGACTTCGAGGCTCCGCCAGGCAAGTGCTGTTTCAGGGTTCGGCTGTGAGACATTTTGGGGAAGCCTGATGAGATGATCTCAGCTTGCGGCCCATTAGTCCCCTGTTGACGACCGGTGTCCATGCCATGCACAAATAGATACTTTCAGTCATGCTTTTCCATGATGGCGGTCAGCTTCAGACTCACTTGTAATTAGCTAAGCCAGCAGATACTTGGTGTTGCACTTGTCTAGCTGGCCCAAACAGCTACAGCTTGGTGTGCCGTGCGCTCAGGATGCGCCACTGAAGATGATCCTGGCCTCCTTGCATTCTATTATCCCGATCGCGACGACCCCTGCGACAGACTGTGCGGAGCAGGATTCCTGGGCAACTTCTGGCCTTCCCCTGCGGAACAACGGCTCCAGCTGCAAGCGCCAGAGTGGAAAGACACCTTGCGTTTCAAGCAGCCTGGCTTGAGACATCATACGTTTACGGTTTCTGGCGCAAGCATGGGCTGCATGAACGGTCAGCCAAGAAATCAGTGTTAAACATCATTTAATGTTGCCACTGCACATGAACCCATGGACAGCACAGTCAACATGAGACTGTCATCAGGCTTTTAATGGGTGGTTCTGATTATAACCCCCCCCAAACAAGTAGCGGGGTCAGAATAATCCGGGGGGTCCCAAGCAAGTAATGGAAAACTTGTTCGGGGGGGATCCCAGAGGAAGCCATAAACCCTAAACACCGCGCCCTAAGACCTCTGGCCTAAGGCTGGGGATATATTTGCAATTAAATATGAATAAATCCCTTCCCCCGAATGCTAAAAACCCACCCTAAAGTATAGAATTCTAATTACATTTCAATTGATTTGAAGCTAGCATGCACTATTCCGTTTCTATGTTGTTATTAATCCGTTCAGCCCGGATTTAGCTAATACGACCCCTTTTTGTTATTCCGTTCAGGCCTGATTTAGATGTAATACGACACCCTTTTGTAATGCGAAGTTGGCATTACGTCTCATTCTCATGTCGAGCTGGCACCAAGGCCCACCGTGCGCCCCAATTTTTTCTGACCACCAAGGAATGCGGAAAGTGCTTTTCAGGCTCTGAAGTTCAAAGGACAACAGCACCAGTTTCAGCACCTCTCGGGCCAAGAAGCTTTTGCCAGGACAGGTTTGGGCAAGTCTGGGTTTGGTAGCGCTAGAATATCTATCCGGCAATAGCATCCCCACGTCTTTGGCAGTCCAGACAGGGCACTTCAGGCAGTGTGAATCTGAAGAAGGCCTCAAGCATCTAGCTTGGGGACATCGATTCTCACTCTCTGGCGCAGCCCTGAAAGGAAGCGTGGACTTGCGGGGAAAGAAGACTGGAGCTACGCAGGCTGCGAACCAACGGTGCAGTTCAGGTGGTCAAGCGGAGCAGCTTGTTCTAGCACGTTATAACGGTGTAGTGGGTACAGTGCATACGTAATCACGCAGTGTTTCTGCTACACAGGCTGGCTCTCTAGATTGGAAGAGCGTGCAGAGTCGGGGGTGTAACATGTTCCCATACAGTATGATGCATCGATAAACCTGAGATGTTCTTATTGCGAAGCCGCTCAAAGTGCCGCAGCCTGAGCCTGGCAGGCTATGGCTCCAACTGGACGGCCATGGAGAAGGTGGGCTCTTTCAAACTTGGGGTCGGACTTGTAATGTGCTAGGTGAGGCATGATCATGCGCATTACTCCTTTGCACCAATCAAAGCGAAGATGCCAACCCGACCTGAAGGTTCTGGAGGCCAAGTTCAAGCAGAACTCCCCGCTTGCAAGCAGGCGGCGTCGGAGCTCTGATTTTGCTGAGGGCTTGGACAAGGATTGATTGCAGATCAGGCATCAGGGGTCAGAAGACCCTAGTGACTCTAGTGACACGAGCACATACATGACTTGAAGCTTGGGGAAAATGGTCTCCTTGTTCGCTGCAAGGCAGAGGGCGTGCTCAATTAAAGGCAAATCATCGTGCGACCTTGGGCTCTGTCTCATAAAGATCTGCAGGTTGCTTCAGACTGGCAACGCTACTCTTCTGGAGCACTGCAGCCGCAAGGGGCGTGATTCGTTCTGGTCAGACGATGAGGATGGAAGTGGATGCAACTACCTTGGCATGCTCCTGATGTTGCTGTACGGCAATACTCGACTTTCATCGAATGTCAAGATTTGCACTGACTATTATTCCTGGCCTCTTCTGTTTTTTCTTGCGTGCAATGGACGCCGAGGCTTCAGCGAGACAAGCTGCGCCTGCAGGAAAATCAAGCTGCGGTCACGCCATGGACCGCATGGCTGACTCAGCATGTTGACCTGAAAAATGGACAACACTTGGCTCAGGCGAACTTCGTGTGGCGCAGCTTTCTTCCTTTGTTAATCATGTCTGTCATATTTTCGACAGATCTATTCTGAATATCTTAACTGCTTCTGGAGGCGTGGCGGAATCACGTCCGGAGAGCCACGTCCAGGCGTGCATAAGCTTTGCTACAAGTGTTGGCTAGCGCGTTCGACAAAGATGAAATAATTTGCGTAGATTGATTCAATGATTACTGCCAGGTTGTACGTAGCCCAATCTAGTGTCACCAGTCATAGAGTTCCTTCCGAGGTGCTAGCATGCAGATGTTCAAGACCATCGGTCAAAGCAACATCTCCCTGTGGCATATGCCGGGATTTCCTTTCAGTCAGGGAATGGTCGCGCATGATTTCGCATCAGGCTGAAGGAGGCATTGGCCGGACCTCGTCCCCAAAGCTGCATCTTGCCAAGCAAAGGCCCGAAAGGCCAGATGCTCTCATCGGTGTGGAAGCTGTGGAAACGGAATGCAGTCAAGACACGGACGGAAGGAACATAGAAGGCCTTTCCCTACAAGACCCGACCCTTGCAGGACCAAAAAAAGAGTGGCGGACAACAGCCTCCAGCGTTACGTAGCGGCCTCGGAATCTGAGCATTTGCCAACACCTGTGCTTGTGCACTTGCGTCAGCATAGGCCTCCAATCGACATCACCTTGGATTTGAAGATGCCTAGGTCCAAAGCCGAGCAGGTGACCGAAGCAGCGAAGATATGTGATGCAGGCCTGTCGTACGGAAAGTGCTAGGAGTGCTCAGACCCGCCATGCAGCGGAGAGCAGCAAAAACCTTGCAACAAGAAGATGCCGCCAGTTATTGATTTGCTCTCATTGGTGGGATGGGCTGTCATGTGTTTTTGCTGCTTGCCCCGCAGCTAGCTGAGTGTTTCCTAGCTCTATATTGCTGCCAGTCCTGATCAAAGAGTGCATCCTGATTGCGAGTGACGAGATGTACAATGTAAGTTCCTTTACGCAGCGGTATGGCACTGCACAGGTCGCCAAGATCCCATTGAGTCAGATGCCAAGACCGGCCAAAGGAGACAATAGCAAAAGGAGACAATAGAAGCATCGCTTCCTGCAAGGAGCCAGAAAGGTCCAGAGCCACAGGTGGCTGGTGTGCTATCAAGTCGAAAGAGCGCTTCGCCAACAAAGCGCCGCCTATCGGATGTAAAGGAAGAACCAAAGTCAGCCAATGCCAATGCAGATGGCCCTCACGCTCCTCCGGTGAGTCCCAGCCTGCCAAGCTCCGACGCAGAGCACAACTTGCCTGAAGAGCCAGAAGTGGCAGTGGCACAGACTTGTCAGGGCGATTGCCAGCAGGTTAGCCGGCCAGAGAAGGATCCGGGGGCTCCAGACCCGCAGGATGTGGAGGCAAATGATTTGGAGAAGGGCCCGTACCTTAGTTTTGTTGACTCTGACTCTGACTCGTTTGCTTCTTCGTGCTGTTTGCCCCAAATCCCATTGCAGCACCTACGGCACGCATGGTTTGGAAATGGTTGAAGGCAAAGACAACATGGGCGCCAGCTGAGAATGTTGACCCCAAGTGCTCAAGAGAATGCGGCAAACGTGTCACTACGAAACAAGCAGCTGCAAGCAGAGATTGATATGTTTGGTCGAGCTATGACTCCAGACATCAACTTAGATTTAGACTAGTGACCAGATTTTACCCAAGTGTTCATTGGCCTCTTGCTCCAGAAAAGAACAGTGCCACAGCCCCTAACAAGCAAACTAACACCAGGAAATAACTGGCAAAATTGAATCTTGATCAATGCGGTCAAGCGGCTGATGGGGGAAGGCCGTGTAAGTTTGATCCAGACCTCAACTTCTTGGGCACTCACAGCCAGCCAGCGCCCTCTTCCCACGCGGCCCTGCCATGCTACAAGGTGTCCGAAGCTCTCGATCCGGATGTCAAGATTCGGGTCGTAAAGAGGAGCCGAGACGATGGAGACCGACTTGGCAGCAACTCGGCGTTTCTATGAACTGAATGCGGTGTGAGTTGAAGCACAGACAGACTGCACACGAGCCTCCAGCCGAAAGCACGATGGCAGGCCGATGGCTTGGCAGCCTCGATCTTGCAATGCATTTTGAGGGACTGCTTTGCAGACTCATGCTGAGCCCAGGAGAGGATGCATCCTCAACATGGACATTGCGACCTGTTTCCATAGTAGACACGAATGACGATCACAGGCCGAGTAAGATCTCCGATGCTTCAGAACTAGAATAGCAGGTGACCCCTTACGCCCAGCAGTACATTTGAGTTCAGTGTTCAACATTATGTTGCCGTGTTGGAAACAGTTGGGGATGTTGGAGGGAAACCAGCGGCAAGATTCATTCTGCAGATCCCGCATCAGAATACAAGCCTGTCGAATCCAAGGCTACGCACTTTCCACTTCTGACTGCATGTGGAAGGACAGCAGGACGAATCAAAGGCAAAGAGCCGGGTGTAGGGCGTTTGCGATAGAGATCTCAACATGCCCACAGAGGGCCCTGCATGGTTCTTGTAGATGGGCATGCATTGTCCTGGCGCCTCCAAGGGGACCGCCAGTCCTGCCGAATTCAGTCAATTGGGTGCCAAGTGGCTCAAGATTTCGCTTGTTTTCGCTAGGCGAGACAAGTATGAGCTTGCCACAAGGCGGATCTGGTTTTGTGCGGCAGACTGGAGTGCACTGCAGTTTCTGCCTGCCGCTTATAGCTGGCCTTTCACGTTGAAGCGTTGTACAGCTGACAAGTCCCATGTGGACGGTCCTGCTACCTGAAGGCCGAAACATTGCAGCCATGAAAGACGGCAAAAATTGCATGCATGTGCAGGCTTGGTTGCTGAGAGATGCTAAACCTTCAACCATGGGTTGAAATTCCCCAAGTCACTGGTCATCTTGAAAATCTGGTTCATGTTCTTGGGTAGCTACTGTACGTGTGGAAGTAGCAGGAAGCGCACGAGGGGAGTCAGCAAATTGAAGGGTTACAGTAGAGATCAGTACATGAAGCCATGCAAGTTATCGTGCTACCACTTGCAGCCTATGAGTTCCTGGCTCAAGCACAAGGCAGGGCAAAGCCGCTGCGGCCATGGCCAAGTGTTTGACGGCGAGCTGTGGCAGGCCTTCCGCTTGTGTCAATTGTCGACGCCGTCTGTGTCCAGCCGTTAGCTTTGTCGCATGCCCGCACTGAGCAGGACCGAAAGGTAAAGGTAAGCGCACAGCTGAAAGCGCGCATTGGGAGGCCAACTTGGAATGGACAACCTGATGAGTACTGCAGCCTCTCGTGCCGCCAAAGTGCGCATCTAAGTTGTCCAGAGCTGCTGCTGCGACCATTCTTCCACTTGGACTTGGCCTCTATTCTTTTCGTGCGTCGCTGCATGTCACAGCCTGAAGCCAAGCCTCAAAGGCGAGGACTCCCTGAAGGTGCGATGGGCTTGAAAGTGTTTCTGCACGACTGGAATGACTTAGCAGTCCACCTACGCGGATTGACGCAGATCATGCGCGCTAAGGTTGTGAGAAGATGTGAGGATTTCCACATGCTGTAGCAGACTGCAATAGGTGACCAAGCAAGCTGATTTATCTCCGTTGCAGGCACACATCTGCCAAGCGCCAAACTGCGGCAGGCTGCCAGCTTATTTGGTGTATTTGTTATCAGCTCCACATGAGCTATGACCACCTTCAAGAGGCGGAGCTTCAATGGCCAGCCGGGATTTTGCAGCTTCCGATGCAGAGACTGTGAGCTCCTCAAGGGTTGCTTCCTTGCGAGGGAACTGGATCGTATGTAACTAAAGCGAAGGGCTCCGAGTTCTGCGGAAAGCAAGGGTTGAGGTATCAGCTTCCGGATCCGGCCTCGCATTATTTTCGCTCGCAGCATCGGGGACAGAGAAGCTAATGTCCTGTGCAGTGGTGGCGGCGGGGGTGTGGCACTAGTGGCACGTAAAAATATACTAGGCTCCATTTCATGCTCCATGTTCTTTTCCATCTGATTCTCCAGTATCACCATAGACCCCTATGCCTATATTCCTTACATGCTCTAATATGTAGTCAGATGACAGGTTTTGGGTCGACATGCAGGCCGTTGGCCTGATTTCTGTCTGAGTACATGGTGGTTTCAAAATTAGGGGTACCATTTGGGGGCCCTTATAATGAGCATTATAGTATTTTGGGTATAGGTTGGGGTCCCCTTATGTCGGAAATGACCACATGGGAGGTATATGCCAGCAGTAGCTTCAGTAGATGGCAGAACCCATCACAGTGCCAGCTGGGTCTGGCAGGCAGCAGTGTTCCAGACCAAGCGACTCCTCAGTGCGTGCGACCAGGATGCGGGCAGCCTGCATTCAAAGGGCAATCTGGGGAGTTCTGCAGCAAGGCATGCCGGAAGGGCCCCGGTGGATCGGAGGGCTTCTGCAGCCCTGCCACCCGGAAGCAGTTCGACTCTATCGTGGCGCAGCTGCAGGCCAAGGGGGGCTCAGGCACGCCAAGGCCTGATTCCACCTCAAACGGAAAGTTAGCTGGCCTCCGCCCTTGGCGTGTCACAACTCGGCAAGGCTTAGCTTTATCATAACCTAAGAGTACCATGTCTACCTCGTCAGCTGAAGGGTTGTCCGTAATCTCAAGCTAGGCATGCGTAGAGTTGGACGCCTTGTCAGGGCCATCTATCGGATCCACCCAAGCGAGAAAGTCCTGAGCCGCTATGTGAAGAAGTGCCGCCAGATAGGCCGCGTCAAGGCTGGGTAGGGCAAAATGAAAGATAACAGCGAGGCCGTGGGCCATTTCCTGTTTTGCACGTGGCCCTGTGATTATCTGTTGCAAGCATGCTTGATTGAGCTTAGCTGGCTGCACTTGGTAGCTGGTTTGTGAGGGTGGAGCGAAAGGTGAAGGGATCTGGTGTGAACCCTGGAAACCAGCAGCGGCGACCCCACGGCACGAAGCAACTGTGTCAGTTCTCTGGACAGCCGTGCCTTGGACTAGCGCTGGCTGATTGCTGACTTTAGGATGCTCGTACATACTGAGCTTCCGCAGCAACGAAGACAAGCTCTAGGAGAACTACGAGTGTGCTGCCAGCTTTCGCGACTGCAAAGCTCATGTTATCGGCTGAAATCTTGCAGTTGGTTTCTTTTTGCCTGTGTGAAGGCTTGACTACTTACTTGAGTAGCTGACACCACGATTCCTTCACAACTTGCTGATGATGCATGTGTTCCATCCGTCAACTTGCTCTGCTGCAGGTGCTCGAACTCAACTTGCAGCGCATGCAGTATCATCCGTCATGGCTTCAACATCCAGAACCTTTCAAAGAACACTGGCAACAGAGGCTGCTATGGAGAGGGCCACTATTCCAGCTCAATGTGGTCGACCGCCCAAAGCCACTTGGATTTGGTCAGCGTTGGCATCGAACACCTCTTGTTTGTGCTTGCGTGATAAAGCCCTGCAAGTGAGGGCATGTTTGTTAATTCTGTCAGCATGTTGGAAGCTGGCTTCGCAAGCTGCAGGCTATGGAAATGCAATCATACTGACTGGTGTGGCTGTTGGCACGCCTGAGCTGGTCATGCAAACCATGCTTGGCCAGCCAGTTTCCGCAGGCAGGATGCCAGAAGCTTGCGTTCACCTCCTGTATGGTTGATTGCCCATGACGCAATCTGCAGTTTGAGCGAGCATCCTCATGCGGAAGGATACGACTCGCGCATTTACAACAACGCCAGCGCAGACGAACTGGTGGCGCCAAATGACACAGGGCCTGTCAGAGTGTAAAATCTCCGTTTGCGTTGCCAATCTAGCCAGCTAGACTGAAGTTTGACTAAACCAGACGGCGTAGCCGCACAGCGCTAGGCTCACATGAGTACAGCGTCAATGATTTGGCCATCTTGTGAACCGAGGATGATCAGATGCTGCCGCTTTACCTGGTCCTTCTGAGCCACTCTGTGGCTCGCAAGGACCGTTGGACCCTTAAATTCGCAGGTCTGCATAGCTGGCAAGGCTCTGCCGCGCTTTCTTGCTTTCAGCGTCCTCTGCAACATTAGAGAAGACCATGTAGCAGCATGCGCACAGAAGCGGGGCAGAACCAACTCAATGCACTTCGCAATGTCAGCCATGCTGCCGCAGAGATGATCCTCCTGCTTTGATTCAACCAGTGAAATGCCGAGTGGTTGAAGCTTTCGCTTGTCCTCGACATATGGACAAGACAGGTACAAGCTTGCCACATGGCAACCAGGTTAGGACTAAAGTCCACCGCAGTTTCGGCTGGACTTTGAACGCCTGCTTTTCAACTTAGAGCATTGTACAGCTGACAGGTCCCATGTGGAACTGCCATGCTCCGCCAAGGCCGCAAAATTGCTGTTCGGAGCAAGGACACAGATAGAGGTTGTCCAAAAATTCGGCGTGTAAGCTCTTAAAAAAAAACACCAACGCGAAAGGAATA